GAATGCCTGATACTCTGTCCTCTCCTTTTAGTAATTCCAACACAGACAGAGATAAAGCCCATATTTGAACAGTAGCTTATATCAAATACATTCATTAGGTTACATGCTTCACTTGATTAATTATATTTAAAGAAATTGCGGGCACTTTGGATCTTCTTCTTATAACATTACTGTATGCCACAGATCCCTAATTTCAAGAAGAAAAGAGGCTGAGGGCATTTTTTCAAACTATTCTGGACAGCCTGCTCCACTCCCTGAGGAGTTGAATGTATTCAAATGTATCTCCATCAATGAGCACAGTAATTATGAATTCAGCACTAATTAGTATATACACTACTTTCCTTGCATATTTGATTTCCACAGTGAGATGGTAATAAGGGAAATGCCCATTTTTGTCCTATCTCATAAAAATTCCACAATGTTAGAGGGGGAAGGGCAGATGGTGAAAGGAGACTGGGGATACATTAAATATGAAAAAACTTCGCAGATAATTGGTCTGGTTACTGAGGGTATAAAACAACACTCTTACCTTGCAGTTAACATTCTGCTAGCTAAATATGCTGTTTTAAGGACACACTGTTCTTATTAAGAGTAAAATCTTTAGTTCTTTTATCACCCAACTATATTCCTTTAAAAAAAAAAAATCCAGATTTATTGAAAATAAGGTGCTTGCTGGAGTCTTGGTAATAAGTTACTATACGAGAAATCTTGTATGAACTCCGAGTGTGGATGTGCATATGCGTGCGCATGTGTGTGACAAGAAAATAACAGTCCTGACTTTTTCTTGCAATTATTTAGAAAAGAGGTAGGAGATAAATAAATTTGTTAGGGCTTTATGTGCCAGTCATTGATTTGAATATAAACCAAATGATGTGTTGCAGATGTAACAGGGTTCAGCTGCCAACAGCTCATATTTAATGTACGTAACTTTTCACTGGAAAGACTTTGGGATTGAGCATGCTTTATGTTCATTTGTTATTGTTTTTGCTGACCTCACGCGTGTGTAAAATTAGAGCTGCAGCAAATCGTTCGCCATAGTTGCAAACAAGCCCCTTTAAAGCTCACAAGCTGTTTACCCAGTAGACTGCCTCTTCATCATCATGAGCCTGAATGTAGTACACATTAGGCTCATGATGGAGAGAGAACCTTTATAAAAAGAGGCGGGAGAGAGGGGAGTAGGGAGCCCCAAACCACACTGCCAAGCCAGCAGGAGAGCTAGACATTTTTAGGCTTGAAGTCCAGGGAAGCTGCAGAAAACATAAAATGTGGGACTGAAACACAACAAAGCGATGCTGCGTTCCTGTGCTGGGTGCAAATGGAACTACACTGAGGGGAAAACATAGTAAAGGACAAGAGCCGACTCCTATTGCTTTCTGACTTTGTTGATTAAGAAGTGATGGCCCTCAGCACCTTGCAGCATTGAGCCTTTCCCCCTTGGAGACCATTCCTGAGACAGCTCTGTACTTCAAACTGGGCCAGGCCTCCAGCTGGAGTAAATCTGTGCACCTAGGCTACTGATGCAGTGCTGATTTATACCAGCTGAGGATCTGGCCTAGCATTGCTGACAAGGGGCCAAATTCTGCCAAGGTAGACAAATATCCCCTAAAGTAGTGTGCAATGCATATATTATAAAACAGTGTAAATGCAGGTCTGTCCAATATAGGCTCCACCTGACAATGAAGATTTATGTACTACATAGGCTGTTTTGCCTGGAAACTATGGCCAGTTTTGTCCTTTTCGTGACTTCAGACTCCTTGATTCATATCCTCTGTTGCTGCAATGATACTGGGACAGAAATGCAGCTAGAAAAGCCAGAAATGCAGCAGAAAAATCTGCTGAAGTTCCTGGGCTTGGTTATGTCTTTTACTTGAGGAGCCAGTATTTAATCATTCATTTTCTGTTTTCAGTGTGAGTGTTGAGTTGTGATTCAGTTTTGATTCTCAGGGTAATTTTAAAATGAACTGGGCCTGCTGCAGGCATTGTGTCTGTATCAGGGAGGTTGAAGGAAGGAGAGGAGAGAAGAGTTTTGATCCACCAATGATAAACACTTAATTTTTGTTTTTTAACTGAATTTAGTGATCAAAAAGATATTAAACTGACAGCTCTGGAGAAAGATTCCTCCCCAATTTATTCGCTTCAAATAACACTTTTAAGTAAAAGATATCATAGAAAGTTAGATGGCAGGAAATGCTCTGTAAAGAAAGCTGTTACTTGGACTCTTCTGTGTGCTGTTCCTTTTGTAGAAGTGTATTTCAGAAGCTAATGGCAATTTCAAAATAAAACATTTTTTGTGCAATGATCATTTACTGGACCGCTTCACTTTTCTACATAGTCATCCTGCTTTGCAATACAGATATTAAGGAACTTATGGCTCACAAGATTCTTGATACTGTTCTCAAAGACATTTTTTGGTTGCTGTGACAGCCACTCCAGTACTGTGGCTGGGGGGGCTACTGTGGCTGGTGAGACTTTGGGGGCCTGGGTTTTGAAATTTTGTTACATCTGCCCTACAGTCCTAATAGGCATAGTGCACCAAGTGATTATCACCTGTTTGGGTTGTTGAAGGAGGTTCTTTATGGGCCCAGATTCGCAAGTGATGCAGAGATGCAACTTGCATTACAGGAGTGCCTACCAGAGCAACCAAAAAGTTTCTTTGAGGATGTTATCAAGGAATGTGTGACTTCCTGGAAGTCCTGTGTTGCAAAGCAGGATGAAAGGATGTGATTCGGTAAAAGATCACTGCACACAGAATGATTCTATTTTGCAATTGTATATGAGTCCTTGTCTAACCTATTCCTGTTTCTGAACAGCCTTGTACAACTATCCAGCAGATTGATAAAGAGATGTTGATGCTAAACAGCACTCCTATGAAATAAGGTGGGAGGGAATTTTCTCACAGGGGCAGGGGAGACAACAAGTGTGTAGGTGGGTGGGTGAAATGAAAATAGTATATTTAAATACTGAGTAAAAAAACTCTCAAAACAGGTGCTTTTTGTTTTCAGAGTCAAAAAAGAAACTATGAGAACAAACTATGCGGTCATTTGTGGGCCTGATGCAAAAAGTAAATCTCATGTGCTAGTCTCTTT